AATTTCCGCATTAATTACTCCTTAATCAAGTACTAACTTGACAGTCGGAGGCGGATCTCCAATCATCCGGAGCATCCGTTTGTTTTGCAGGTACAGGCGTCCGGTTCCAGTCTCGGAATTGTAACTCTCCCGCAGGACATCAGAAAACCCCGAAACACCTACCGTTAGACAAACGTTAAAAAAACGTTAGTTTTGGCTTTTTTAACTTAAAAAACTGACACGTGGCGGCCTGTGATTGGTCCAAAAAAATAAAAATAAAATAAAATTTTAAAAAAAAGTTAGATTAATAAATAAGATAATTTTTTTTTAATTTTTAATAATTTTTTTTTAAACAACATATATATATATATATATATTTTTCTTTTTTTTCGACAGCCCACCCAGACATCCCAACCCCCTTGCCCCCGGTGCTGGCTAGCCAAACCCTCCTCGCCGGCTGCCGCCCCTCCCTTTCTCGTAGCCACCATCCCCGAAACCACCTGACTCCCCCACAAAACCAACAACACCACCACCCTCCACCAATTCACGAACCCAGCAGCCGCCTTATCACCGCTGCTCCATTTCAACACCCACCATCAGTGGCCGACAATTGTAGAAGTTGTCCACCATCCGACCATTTTCGACCACAAATAACATACCCAATAGCAACACCAAATCCCCTGCACCCAATCTCCACTTCACGCCACCACAATTCGCCACCCACCATCACCGTTCAATCTACACTTCGCGCCGGATTTGGTTACTTATAGCAGGAATTTATGGTGGTGGAAGGGAAGAGGAAAGAGAAAGGAAGGAGGAAAGAGAAGGGGAAGGGTGGTCAGAGGGGGGTGGGATGTCTGGTTGGATGCTGGAAGTTATGGAGGAGGAGGAAGGATGGAGGAAAGAGAAAGGACGGAGGTAGGAAAAAAAAAGAAAAAAAATAAAATAATGTTGTTTAAAAAAATTATCAAAATTAAAAATTAAAAAAAATTATCTTATTTTATTAATCTAACTTTTTTTAAAATTTTATTTTATTTTATTTTATTTTTATTTTTTTGGACCAATCACAGGCCGCCACGTGTTAGTGTTAAAGTTAAAAAAGCCAAAACTAACGTTTTTTAAACGTTTGTCTAACGGTAGGTGTACGGCTGATAATGGTATAAAACCTTGAATGTACCGCTGATAAACAATAGTTTAGCAGGTGTACTATTGATAAAGGCCCAAACCTTGGGTGTACTATTGATAATTTCCCTTTTTTTTTGTCCAATATTTGCAAGCTAGGCACTTGGGATTAAAGGAGAGGGTAAAGCCTAAGGGAATGTTCTTTAAGGTCATTTTGCATAGCTAATAAGTGATTAGTAATTTCTTTTTTTTTAAAAAAAACACAGTGACTAGTAATTAATAATTAATGTTCTTCAAAGTCA